ATACCAGCTCCAACCCCACACATGTGAGGAGTGGAGTCATTCAGGGTAGTGTACTCGTCCCGCTTTTATTTTGTCTTGTCGTTAATGATGTACCCGATTTATTTCAGAATGGTAAGCCTTTCTTTTATGCCGATGATCTTAAATTTGCATATCCATATAAGCCGGCAGATCATGACATCGTGCTTGAGCTCCTTAAGCGTGATCTACAGGCTTTCGCCCAGGGGTGCCGCACATGGCGCCTTTCTCTTTCTTGGCATAAGTGCTCAGTCATGGTGGTTGGCGACGACCGCCAACCTCAACTAAGTATTGAAGGTCACGCAATAAATGTGCCAGGGGTTATAAAGGATTTGGGCGTATCATACTCCAAGAGTCTCAATCTCTCGGAGCACTGCGCCATGATAGTCTCCAAATCACGTAGAACGACCGGGTTTATCCTCCGAAATTTTAAAACTAGGGACATTAGAATACGCCTTTTCAACATGTACGTTAGACCTGGTCTGGAATACTGTTCGTTTTCATTTAGCCTCATGCGTGCTACTGAGCGAAGAAAATAGAATCCGTTTAACACTTTTTTACCAAGAGAATATTAACTCCGGAACACCGACATTTGTCTTACCAAGAAAGTTGCCGGCTTACAGGCCTCGATCCTTTATGGTTCCGTAGATTACAAAAGGGACTATTTTTGCTATTTAAACTCTTATATAATCACACATATAACCCACTCACCTCTTTAAGACACCATGTCCACCCACGACGTAACAGTCACCATGAGGTCTTTTTATTTCTTCATCTGGCACGTACTGTTAAATATCGTCGGTTCTATTCTGTAAATGCAATTGCTATTTGGAATAAACTACCCATGAGTGTGAAAACTCTGCAAAATTATCCTTTATTTAAGAGAACTATTACTCGATTTTTGCATTCAGAAAAGCTCCCACAAATTTTGGGTGCTGAATCCATTGATCGATTCTACTGTAACGATGGCGTTTGTGGTCTCTGAACTCGCAACCAACTCTGATGGGTTGCTCGGGAAATTCGGTAGACAGCAAATATGTGCGTCCAAGCGACGACTCCGTAAATCGTCCTCGCCCACATGCAGCAAATTCACCGGAAAGACAAAGTAAGGAGGAGCATGCTCGCCAGCAGTGTCTGGTTATTCAGGGTTTGTCAGAATCGAATGCAGTCAGACCTTAAGACAGTGTCTCAGAGGACCTTGCTTCTTTTCATGGTTTATTTAATCAGTAACTCCAGGCAGACATAGAAATAAAGGTTCTGAATGCATTCCGGATAGGAAAAAGGAGTGAAGACACGACAGCAGCACAACCACCTCGCCCTCTCAAAATTATGCTGGTGAACAAACAGCAAATCAAGTTGATCCTCTCTAAAGAAACCGACCTCAGAAACACACACAAACAGGTTTTTTTCAACCGGACTACTCACTTGCGGAACGGCTGAAACGGCGGGAACTTGTCTTGGAGTTAAAGTCAAGACTGAAGGGTGGCGAACACAATCTGGGTATCTTCAAGGGGAAGGTAGTTCGGAAATATATGCCGTTTCAGTGGAAGCAGCCTGTAATAGAATAGAATAGAATAGAATAGAATAGGTTTATTGTAGCGCCCCTTGGGCACTGTCAGTCCCCTTTGAACGACGGCAGCTACTCAGCTAACACATACACCTTCGTTGAACCACCTGCTCAAGGCGGTAACCCAAGTAAGCCCGTAACGTCCAGTGATCTGGTTGAAACAACGGATATAAATGGAACCCATCAGGTAACGGAAGAGCCC